TTTAAGGACAAGTGAATCGAGAAACTACTATATATACATGAAAAGTGTCATGCACGAATCTCAAGGAGATTAAACAATCTAGATTAGAAGGGAAAGACAAGAGTCATCAATCTAACGAGAAGCTATATGTAATCATGAAGCCATCCGGTTGAATATCGCTAGTCGAGTCAAGAATTGTCAATTAACTGAAAGCCTATCTAACTATCAAAGGACCACCCAGGCTAATAAGAGAGATGTCTACACCAACCAACCTAGGGTCGACTGACTACCACTCTTAAAGCCCCATAGCAAAGGTTGATCATTATCAAAAAAAAAAAAAAAAATCGAACAAAACCAGCCAAGTCGACCGACCCAATGACTTGCCAATCTGAAAGCTTAGGAGCACGAAAAGGTGTCAATATCAGTTATGGATATAAAAAGGTGTCAATATCATTTATGAATACCAAAAAGTGTCAATATCACTTATGAATATGAAAAGATGTCAATATCAATTATAATCATGAAAATGTATCAAAGAGGCAATATGAATGCAAGGGCAATTTATAAGAATAATAATGATCTATAACTCCTCCATTGAAGCGGGGATAAACATGTAATTTTGTCAATGATCCTTTATTATTATAAATAGGGACATTTTTATGAATAAAGGATAAACCTTTTTCTCTAAACTCTTCATCATGCGCTCTATACTCTGTCCCTCTCTTTTATCTCATCTTCCTTATGTTATATCCATCGAGGCTTGTTCCAAAAGACAAGTCAGGATTCAACGTATCCAACTTATCATCATGTTGAGAATGTCTTCTAATCTATCCTAACATTTCCTACACCACTTTCTTTCAGCTTCTCCATCCAACATAAATGCAGCTAATAATACCTTCTTTCATCCAGACATCTCGTGTTATATCATATCTTCTCCATTTAAATATTTTTTTCTCAACTTAAATCAAATCTACAGTTCCTTCGAATAATGTGGACACTGATCTTACAACGTCTATAAATGCTTATCTAAAACAAGTATATGATTTTTATTAGGCTAAAATCTGGAGTCTGGAATTAATTATGTCATCGCTGCCCTCATCTAGGTCATGGTATTCGTGTTCACAATTATAACAAGCAATACTTTTGCATTTCCTACCACATTTCTCTCTTCCACAATCTCACGTGCATCCATTTGCCTGAATTAAATTAATTATTTAATTAAGGTTAACTTATGCTTTTAATTTTATTATTAATATTTTCCTTATGATTATTCTATTGACTTTTTCATCAATATCATATTATTTAATCCTAAACATTGCCTTCAAAACCACTTTTATCATAACCTCGCCTGGGCTTTGAATTAATTAATATGAGAACATACGTTCGAATGGTGAAATTAATTTTTTTTATTTCTATTTTTTATCACTATCAATTAATGATCTAAAAAATAAATAAAAGAGCCAATAGAGAAAATAAATTAAATTAGAGCAGTCATAAATTAATCTTAGTTTAGATTGTTCATTTATTTTATAAACATTTATTTTTCTATTACTCATCTTTTAAGCAAATGTTTAAACCTAAGAAAATTAGTTTAAAATAACAATAATATTGAGTTACAAAAACCTGTGAGTACATCTACTCTAAACTATAATAACATAATAAAAATAATTTGCTTGTTGGTCATAAGTATTATAAATTAATATAAATGTATTAGACAACTTATTTTCTCAAATATGATTGTTCACGATATTTCAAACCATATAATGTGTTTTATTTTATCAATAAAATATTTACATCATTTTATATTTATGCAACTGTCACATGTACATCATCTAAAATTATATCTGAAGGTACATAAATATCAATAGCTTTTTCAATTACATGCACGAGTAAATTAGCGATCCCCTAATTATTACCATAAATGAGTGAACTCTATCATTGTCAATCATGCACACACAAACATACTATATAGTTCATATAATTTATATGCATATCCTAGTCAACTTTATTGCTAATTAGTCATGACAATGTGACAAATAAGAAAATAGCATATAAATTAGAAATAAACAATGCAAGTGAATTTACATGTATTAGTAACTACCAATGTAATTGGTTGAGAAGAAACAAAAATGTTATCATAGATCAAAAGTAGGAATGTTTAACTTGATCTCAAATGATTTCCCTAAGTGTTATATCAAATTTTCTTCAATGAGATGCAAATAAATCATTATTAATTTGTTCTATGTTAATTTTACTATTAAAAAATATTTTGCCTTCATTTTACTTTTAATGTATTATATACAAATCATTATTTTATTTTAAATAATATAATATATTCCTTCAAATAATTTTATTATTTATTTACTATTAATTTGATATTAATTATCTTATCAAAACTTGATTATTATGATTCTCATTAATTATTCAAATTCTATTAATTTAATTTTTAATGATTTTCTAAATAATATGAAAATTAATCTTAAATAAATTTAATCATAATCTTAACTATTAAGTCATTACCATTCAAATTTTTTTTCTAATTAATATATAGCCTAATTATAAATTTAATTAATAATATTTTATTCTTCCCAATTTATATCAAATTTTCTTAAAGTTTTTGTTTAAAAATTTAACCAACTCAAACTTATAGATCGATCTCCATCATTCCTTAATTTTTTACTTTAATTTCTTGCCCAATTTTCATCAATAATATTAATTCATAGATATTAATATATCTTATAACAAATAAATAAATAAACAAAATAACTAATAAACATATAAAAACATAAAACACATAT